TGCTGGTTGCTGACACTGTTGAAATTGAAAGAGCCTATGTTGTTGTTGTGTTGAAGCCGTTGATTATGAGTGTCAAGACAAGGGGACAAGTCGTATGGTGAGCGATGAGTTGCAGAGAGCTAACGTCAAGATCAGGCAACATGAACAAAGCTAGGAGGCGGGGAGCGGAGAAAATCGTAGCCCAGGTATGAGGAAGAGTCTTGTTCCCAAACGAGTCAACGACTGGGGGAGATTGAGCTTCAAAAGGCAGAGAGAGGGAAAGGAAAACAGAGAGAGGGCGCCTGAGAAGGTGTTTGAAAGTGACAGGCAGAGTTGCCGTGGGTTGGGGTTTACAATGCAGCCAGAGCGCAGCGCAGTGCACTCTGTAGGTACTAGGTGGTGCAGGAGACCATTAGACGGACGGCAAAGATGGCTCGGGGTTATAGTGTGCCTTGGCTCAGCTCAGCCTAGGACTGGGTATCTAGTCACGCAGCACATAAGGACCCGACGAATTCAATTCGACCGAATTCAGGCTAGGAACGGGGAATGGGAATGGTAACTGAAAATGGGAAAGGCAACCAGAGGCAACCTGACAAACACCCTGTGCGGGTGCTGGTGCTGGTGGACGGAACGGAAAGCGGAGGGTGTGGCGTGTGATACGGGATGAGATGGTACGGGAAGGGGGGTGTGAGCTGAGGAGGGGGATTTGAATGAGTAAGTGAGTGAAAGTGAGAGGTGAGAGTGAGAGGGACAGCGGAGTGAGTGAAAAGAAGGTGTGTGTGTGAGAGTGAGTGGGCGTCCAGGGGACAGCAGCTAAATTGCTTTTAGTCGTGGGGCGGGGAGCCGATGGGATCTGCGGTTCCAGGGAGCGGGAGTTTTTCTCTCAGTATGTTGCTTGGAGCCTTGGAACCAGCAAGGCGACTTTGGGGGGGGGGGGGGGGGGCTGGTTGGATTAAGCGCCTCATTCACACGCTGTGCTCTGTAGGTAGTCCAATCCCACACGGCTTATAGTGTGTGTAAGATTTGTTGAATTGGGACCTTCTCCGAGATGGATGAGTTCGAGTTCACGGACATGACCAGGTCGATGAGTTGCGCCGACTTGCGGGAAGCTCCCGAATGCGCAGGGGCTGTTTAATCTTTCTACACACTCTTTCTGTGTCGGTACGTAAACTACACAGTACTGGGTAGTTAAAACATTGTCTCTGTGGTGTGCATGTTCCAATTCGGATGCCGACCCGAGTTCACCAAGCATTACCTATTAACTAGGAACATCTGTATTTAGGACAGAGTTTACACCCACTTCCCAGACCACACGATGCAGACATGGACCAAACAGCAACGTCCCGTTCTTGGCTAAGGAAAAAGAACAGTTTGGTGTTTCGGCATAAAGCAGGCGGATACGCGGCAGGCTTTAAGGCGGCGGCGGCAAAAGGGGGAAAAAACTAGCGGTAAAAGATGAGGCTGGGAAACTCATTTGCTACAGCAACACAATACTCAAGTAATAGGCAGATTCAGCTTGTTCATTTGCCTACCTGCAGACCGTAGCCTGAGACTGGTCGTATGATGAACAATTGGTAACGATGCGATGTAATGAAGTAGGAATGGAAATCGGAAGCTTCCTGTCAACAAATTATCGACGACAACCAGGCCAAGCTGGCGCCTTGGCTTGAATAGGTTAGACCGATTCTTCGATCAGCTGGGGGAAAAGAACACACACCTCCCCCCCCTTTCTGTCTCTTTTCCTCTCTCTCCTCTCAGTCCCCTGATGCCAATGGAACCTCCAAAATCCGTCAGTCCAAGGACAACCCCCGTCCGCCGCCATGGGGCACAGTCTGTCTCATTGGTTTGTTCAGCCAATGTCTTACAGCTGATTCGCCCACTCCCGCCTCCAAGTGACCTTCGCCCCGGTCTTGTTTCCTTTCTGGCTTGTCCAGTTCTGAAAGTCGTTCCTTGTCAGTCACTCAGTGTATCCATATGGGCTCTTTGGAGTGCTGAGATGTAAGACAATGATGGATTACAGATACTTATCGCCATTATCAATATCATCATCATCGTAAGCCCCCTTTTGCCTTTTTCCCAAGCTCCGTATCAGACTTGCATCCTCGCGTATAAACTTTGGCAGTCATCGAAATAACCCGAAGCATGCTAAATTAGACAAGTGTCAGTTCGCAGTCGATGCTGACAAGGACCGGGCCACCGCTTAGTAAAGACACTTGCACTCTCTTAGACTCTTCCTACCTGTACGGATACTCTGGACTCTGGAGGTACCTGGAGTGGGCAGCACACTGGAAACTCCGACAGGCTAGGGAACCCAAACGCCCGGGTGTGCCCTTCGCCCAGGTCTAAATCTTGCTTCCTTCGGTGTTCCGTACCGCTGGAATGGCAGAGCCCATCTATGTACACATCACCAGACGGAAGGGCGGAGAGAGGAAGCCGGAATAGGCTGTTGGGATGTTGTTAGCCGCAGTCGGTCCAAGATCCCAAGACGACTACAGCTGCTCCTATCGCCCGGCCTGGCCTTCTGCCGCTCTCTTAACCCGTCCAATCGCACCAAACGTCCCTTCCGTGGGTAGTTTGTCAGTTCTTAGTATCAATCGAATACACCTGGGCAGTTGTCGCTTTCGCAGAGCGGCAGGTTGGCAAGTGTTCGTCTCCGTAACTAGCTGCCACTTGCATCTTAGCTACCACTTTCGGGTGCTTTACTTCAACGCCACCATCCAACCCAAAATCGACAGGACGACGCATCATCGCCATTATCGACACATTCGCTTCGAGCGACGCCTGTCTTGCCCTTTTCTCTCTTGCATCTGATTTGTCTACGACCCCGTGTGTTTTGTCTCATCCCTTCCCCCTCCCTCTCTCCCACCGTCCCATCAGCCCGCTCTCCCGACTCCCGAACAGGTGGTGAGGGACAAGAAGAACAGGCCCAACTCTGCAAAATTGGTAGACGATCTGAGCGAGCGGCACTGCTTTCCGCAGAGAATGGCCACCAGATTCACAGCACCCACCAGCCCCGTTTGACACGAAAAACCGGCCCTAACTCTTCCCGCGTTTCGTCCATACTCTCCGGTCTCGTGGGACACCTGTCTCTGGCTCTCATTATCCCCGGGACCTTTTCAACCACTGGCTCGACCACTGAAGGAGGGGGGCTATAGTACCCTTCGGCTTCTATCGAACAGCATCCCGGTCGACTATCCCGACTCTCCTTGGGGCCCTGGGGTAGACTCCTTCTCCAGGCCCTGGGAAAGTTTGTCTTCGGCCGGCGAACCAAAATGTGCCAAACCACGCCCGCCGGTCTTACTACACCAGACCAGGCACCGGGCCGCCGTGGCACCGCGGCTCCTTGGTTTGCGTCGCCCACGCGCTGTCCATGTCTTTGATGGCCGAATCGCCGCCAGGTGTCACGCAATCTGCCATCATGCTGCATGCGATCCGCCGCTGCAAATCAGGTGGTACCTGGCGGGGGTGGCCACTGAGAAGCCGCCGAACACCTGCCATAAACACAAGAAAACACACGATGGCATCGGCCATCTTCTTTCAGCTGACACAACCTGCTCCCGTATGACCGCGGTCACCAACTTTCGAGACATTTTTCTGATGAGGTATGCGCAATCATAGGTAGTCGGGTCGCCGTGCCTGACTTGCTTCGGGCTCTGCTGGTGCTGAGTGGGCTTTTGCGTGTCAAACAGACCCATCAACTATGCCAGCTGGAGGCCTTTCGTTGGCTTTTATTCCGTGTTCCACCACTCTACCAGACTCCTCTCCAGCGGCAACCACGTTTCGCAGAGCCCAACTGGAGTTATCCGGCTCTTATTCGCCAAACGACATCTATAATGTTAGGCTCCGCGTCGCTGCGACCAAAGCCCGCGTCTGGAGGGCTATTTGGACAAGCACAGGCCACGATGGTAGGTATAGCAGCAGTGTTAGCACACCGCATCTCCAGACTCCAAGGCCGCTTCCCCGACAATGCCCAGCCCAGGGGCCCAGGAGAGATGTCGAAAACCTTCTTTCGAAAGTTCCAAGCGAACTCCAAAAAAGGGCCACCAGGGCCCTCCTTTCCTTCTCCTGCAGGCCCCGTGTGGGGGAATATAGCTGTGCCTGCAAGGGCAGACGGCCGCAGCCTAGCTGTTATCTCGTGCTCGTCTTGCTGCAGAGGGGCCCGCATACGGGCGATACTTTCCGCGCCAGATAACGGAGAAGGGGATTTCGTAAGGGTGCCGTGCAGGCGCGCAAAACAAAATGCTCCGGCAAAGCTCCATGCTGCGAATGATTACCACGGCCACGGAGAAGACGCCGGAGTAATATGCAGCTGTTCTGCCCTTCTCCTTTCTTTTGGACCCTCCGTAGGCCGCATCTTCCGAGGCCCCGCAAACTTCGACACCCAGAGTATCCAGTGGTCCACGTCCCAGAGTCAGACATTTCGGGATCCTGTCATATCTCCCCCTACAGAGCGTTGGCACACGTAGACAATGTCCAGCGGAGGTTATCCGTTGCAGTCTGTAAACTTGGCTCTCCAATTCCCGGACACACTCATGGAGTCGAATTCGGCAGCGGAACGAACACCTTCGCAAGGTTAAGCCCGTCGGCGGGAGCGTCCTCCCACCTTCGCACTGGGCAGACGGCGATCCCCATCTTTTAGTATCAGGTTTCTGGAAATCCCGGGCACGCAAAGTGTGAGCCTGTTCGTTATCGGAATCCGCGTCCCTCGGAATCTCTGCAACTTTTGCTTCCCACTGTCAGATCGGTTCGTGGGGCGGCGGCGTTCGGAGGGGCCGCTTGACGGCTCGCGCGACAAGATACACACCCCCAGGCACCTTCCGGGAGAGAAGAGTGGGGGGGGCGTAGATATAGCAGAAAACGTGTCGTCGGCTGAGTGTGTGCAAGCGGGGCGGGGCAATCGGCCAGCCTATCCCTTCCCTTTCCCTTCTTCCCCAGCTCTTTGGGGTCGCGTATATTTCTGCCTGAAGACTTAGGCGCCACTTTTCTGTTGGAGTGCGGCCCTGTCACTTCGGGTGATAGCTTCATTCGCGCATCCAGGACCGTGGTACCTTTCGAACCACCTCCGCCATAGCTCTCTGCCCTCCTCGTACAGCACATCCAATTCAACCAGAGCTCTCACAATGGCGTCCAAGCGGGATATGCGTCGGCCGGACCTGAGTATGTTTTGCACCACTCCTATCCTGTCGCGAATGTCTGCTAACCTTTTTCTCCCGCGCAGTCGTCCCCTATCAGGAGCCCAAGGCCAAGGGCGACTCCACCGAGCTCTCCTCGACGCTGTCTTCTACCCTGCCAATGGCTGCGATGCTTACGCGCAACAAGTTTATCGGATGGTATGGCGCATTTTCTGTTCACCCTCAGCGAGACGAATAGCATTGCTGGCACTGTACCGAGCTGTGGCGGCCAAGCAACCATAGCACAGGGGTCTACATGAGCTTTGGTCGAAGATCAGACTTACTGACAGGCTATGAAATAGGGCTTCCGTCGTCTTCAGTATTCAGACTTGGCTTGGTGAGAGCGAGGAGACGAAGAAGAGCTCCGCGACGCCGGGATACTTCTCCGTGGGCATGTCAGGTGTGTATCTACCCGACCCCTTGGTCGCATTTTCACGAGCCTGTTCACTGACGATACATGACAGTTATGGCTCTTGCCGTCAGCTACCTGCCCCTCTTCCTCCCTCCTCCCGCCCAACGAGGCGCCGCGACTGGCACCGGTCCCGCTGCCCCCGTTCCTCCTGCGTAGATACGATTGCCCATATAACGAGGGACGGGGTCGACGGTGGTGTAGAGTGGGGGTGTATCTGGCATCATAAGCCGTTCCCAGTATGAGACGAGGTACAGGCAGTGTCTACCTAAGGGGAGGCATATTGACGAGTCGATGATGGCGTCAGGGGGGATCAAGCGTGGTGGAAAATTGTAGTATAATACCTCTTTTGGAGACAAAACGTAAAAGCGGGCGCGAGAGGAACGTCACGCGGTTGATACTCTAAAATCTTAATAGCATCAAGTTCAACTATGACTTTTCGCAAACATCATGCAGGAAACTATTCTGGGAGTTCAGAAACTAAGAATGAACGTTGTCGCGTTGTGCAATTATCGATGCAAGGGGGTACTTTCTGATGTCGTCATATGCAGCTGGCCAATAACCGGCTTTCATTCCGACTGCCACTCCTGCGACGTTCAACATGTCGATTCGTCTACGGAGTACAACAACTCCTCTCATATTAACATCCTGTTAATACTTCGCTCCAATTTATCATTCGGCATTCATCTCCTAGTTGCCGCTTTTGAATCATCTCCAAGCGTGGGGCCTCATCAGAGCAGGGAGAAGCGCAATGGCTTCTCCGATAACCGAGGCCTCGGTCCTCGCTGCCTTTGATGAAAAGGTTCGGGACGGGATTGTGATGTACGCGGAGGACATGGAGAAGATTTATCACGAGGATGGAGGTTTCAAGGTCAGTTTCTTTTCTCTTTTCTTTTCTTCACCGGATTTCATCCTTGTAGTTGTGGTACGAATAACGGGCGTATCCGTACGTTCCCGTCTTGCTTTTTACTTGACGAGAAAACTGAGAAAGATGGTGATAAAGGGCAGAGAAAGGGATAGTAAGGGGCTTTAAAACCAAGGGAATCGTAGGGAACCACTGAAGCTGACGATTCTGTCTAGTTTGAGTTCCGCTTAACGGCTGCGTTGAAAAGCAAGCCCGCCGCGGTAGAAGACAACGCGGAGCTAGACGAAGCCGATGACAATGGCCCTCCGTCTCAGACAAACGCAAGCGCAACCTCGCACGCCAACACTCATACCCAAGACGACGGCAAACACGGGAACAACAAGATCACCCTCGATGAGGAAGGAAACCTTCCCGGAGGCGACATCAGCATCGCGGGCTTCGAGCTCACGACCGTCGGCGGCGGCGGGGATGAAGAGGCTACGCATGTGCTGGCGTTCAACAAGTTCTGCGCGTACAGGCCGCATCTGCTCCTCTTGACTGCCGATGGGAGGAGGAGGCAGTTTGAGGGGTTGGGTGAGCGGGATCTCCGGGCTGCGGTGAAGGTTTTGGGGGGTTTGAATGGGGTGTGGGGTGGTGATGCGGATGCTGTTGGCGAGGACAGGAGACGAGAGTACTTGGTCATCTTCAACTGTGGTAAGGAGGGCGGGTGCAGTCGGTTGCATAAGCATATGCAGGTCATTCCTGCGCCGGGAGCGATTCCCATGTGGCCTGACCTCGTCGACGCCGGGTCCGGGACAGGGGCGGAAGCGGTCGGTGACGGGAAGCAAGAGCCGCCGTTCCGGTACTTCGTCCACCGCTTTAGCGGCACATCACCACCCTCGACAAAGGACCTCACGGCGAAATACAGAGACATGCTCCGCCAGGCGACGGAGCTGATTCCCGGCCGGGAGAAGGTTGTCGAGGAGGACGGGGATGGGAGGGCCGTGGCGGTGCCGCATAATGTTATTCTCGGACGGCGGTGGATTGTTGTGGTTCCGAGGGTGAAGGCGGGTGTTGACGGGGCGGATGTGAATGCTGTTGGTATGCTTGGTGTCGTGTGGGCTTCGAGGCCGGAGACGGTGGGGAAGTGGAGGGAGCTGGGGGCGAGGAGGGTGCTTGGGGAGGTTGGCGTTGGGAGGTAAGTGATGGGTTGTTTTGGGAGTTTAGCAGAGGTTTGATAGGCTTGAAAGATGGGCTTTAGAGACTGTGGGTTGTGATTGAGTGATGTGGTGTAGACGGATTGGTAAAGATGTAGATGTGGAACAGAATGAAGCAGGCGATGAAAGCCAGCAGCATATAGACGATTCGAGGCTTCATTTCATCAAGATCCCCCATTCATCTCGTGTTAATGCTAACTAACCCCTTTTCTGCAGACCTTGGTTCTTGCTGGGTTGTGAAGGACATCATGTGGGCCTATACCGGTCCAAAGCCATCACTATCAGCTTTTGTCTACATCACAGTCTATGTTAAGTACCAAACTTGCTATTGAATGAGGCCAAACAATAAAGTTTTGAGTTCGCGGGGAATTCCACTTCGGCAACTTCCAAGTGGCTAGTAAAGCCATTCAGGCCTTCCATCTAGCGGGAACCCTTAACCACAAAAGGCGAACTTTTTCGACGCCACCCTGGCTCCTAAGCACCTTGCACCGGATTGCTTCCATATTCCCTCCTCAATAAGCTGATTTAGATATCGCCTTCATTACCTTCCCATGCAAGTCTCAAGCAGCAGCGCTTTCGTTGCCGCTCAGGTCTCCTTCTCCCAAACCCTCCCAGGAAGTGGCCACCTCAATAATCATTCGCAGTAGACCCATACAAATGCTCCCCCGTCTCAAGAACTTCAACTTCATCGCCAACATGGACATACAGCCCCTTCCCTTGCCTCCTAGCCTCGTCCAGATCATCGTCCTCGGGCACGCAATGCATCCCGAGGTATCCCAGCGCCTTGGGATTCCCCGTTTCCGGAGTACGGTGCTCAATCAGCGTCGTGCTAGGCTGCGGCTTCCCCTTCTTCTTTTCAGCGGACGCAGGGTTCTCCGTGTCAAAGGTTGCCGTAGCGAGGTTGACGTTTGGCATTGTACAGCGGGATGTTCTACAGACGACGGAGAGCTTTGGTGAGACGTCCGCCCGCGGCTTTCTGTTATCTGAGAGGTTTCCCTTGGGGATGATGCGGTATCGCTTCCACGTCTCTTCCACGTACGCCGGCGCTCCCGTGACCCATAGATTCGCGCGGAAGCGGAGGGCGTCAAGCGGTCTGTTCTCCGGCGGTAGCAGCGCTGATACGGCGTGGACGGAGGATAAGCTGTTGAGGTTGACGGGCTGCTGGTCCGTGTATCCGTGGACGGCGGGCGAGCCGATGTAGCTCACGGGCGCGAGGTTGAGGGTCGTCCGCGTCAAGGTCTCGGGCGTGCAGCGCGTGAGCGTCAGGCCGCGGTTCGGCGGGATGGCGAGGAATTTCTTCAGTTTCGGGAGGAGGGTCGTGGCGACGGAGGGGATGCGGGACATGTCTAGCCCGGAGGCGTCGCGGGCGTGGATGCCAAAGGTTTTAAGGCCAATGTTGTATTCGTCTACGAGGGTTGAAGGGGGGTTCAGGGGCACGATGAAGGAGATTTGGGGTGTTGCGGAGGGGTTGAAGGGGTTGGAGAGGAAGGTCTCGATGCGTTGGGTCCAGGTTGGGGGGTCTGGGTCTGAGAAGGTTACGAGGACGCAGCCGCCGGCTTGGACTAGGGGGTCTCGCTGGTCGCTGTTCTTCCGAGGGAGGTAGATTTCTGTCTGGATGTGGCACATATTTGGCTTCGTGCGCTGGCTGATGAGTTTCCAGGAGACGGCGCCCGTTTCCGGGTCCGGCGTCTCGGCTGCGAGGGCGAAGCATCGGTCGTATGCGAAGCCTGTCTTTGTGAGGAGGGCTCTGTCTACTTCGATGAAGCCGCATGATTTGATCGGGTGGATGTAGATTGACTTGATGCGGATCGGCCCCTGGTTGCCCGATGGTGTGTCTTCCGGTAATGCATATTTGGAGTCGAATTGGTCTGCCATGTGGCTCTTATTGGCCGGGACACCTACGGACTCCAGGTTCCGGAGCTTCCTGCGCGTGGATGCGGCATCGCCATTGTGGAGGATGAAGGCTAGGGTGAGGGTGACGGGGAGGAGGAGGGCGATGAGAGCGTAGACGATGGTCGAGGCCCGGAGGTGTTGGAGAGAGCCCACGATCTGGAGGAGCATCGTCTCGAGTTTCCTTCCCTGGTGTGACCCTGGCTGGAGATTCGTGTGGGTTGACGGCTTGTCTTCTAAAGGTAAGATCTAGCGTTCATTCCGAGTCTCGGAGTCATTTGGAGGTGGGAGATGTGACGTTTAAACTGCCTTTCGGGCCGCCCCACTTGTGGGGTCCCCTGTTTTCCCGCGATTGCGACACCGGTTGTTGAGCCGGAGCCGATGCCGACGCCGGTCCCACATAGGCGTAAGTTACCTTTCTAAGAAAACGTGGAAGAGGAAGACGACAGGTCATTGGCTGGTGCCCATATCCTTTTGTCAAGGAAACAAAGAAGTGGCCGGGTTGAAGACACTGTTCTTGAAATTTAAAATTTTTCTCTTTCCCGTAGAGGTCTAGCCCGCTTTCTTCTTGGATGTCAGTTGCAGGGCGCGCTTTGCGTGGAGTGCATATGTAGAAATGACCCATGCATTTTTCCCTATGGAGTCTAAACGTCTTTAGTTGCGTTGGTTTTCGGAAGTCAAGACCTCGATTACAATTGCCTTTAGGGGAATGGAAGAGATTATTGCCATTGTTGCTTGAGTCACTAATCACTCTGCTGCGAAGACTATTTATCTCGCTGGAGCTCCCCAAGTCTCTAGATGACGTTTGCTCATTTCTCTCCAAACCGTCTGTTTACTCAAGCGACTTGCCAAGTTGAAGATGTCTCAACCACTGAGATCCTCTCAGCAGAAACAGGCCGCGCCTGAGGGAATCCACGACATGACTCGGAACCACACTACTGACAGGGCCGAAAACCGAGACTCGAAGCCGGAACCGCAGTACAACCCGAGCATCGACGAGACCATCCCGAACCCAGAAGATGAATACCCCGAAGGAGGCCTGCGAGCTTGGTCTGTCGTACTAGGCTCCTGGTTCGCATCCTTCTCGGCCTTGGGCATCTCAAACAGCGTGGCGACCATCCACGCCTACATCAGCTCCCACCAGCTACAAGGTTACAGCGAAGGCACCATCGGCTGGATTTTCTCCATGTATATGTTCCTCTGCTTCTTCTGTGGGATCTACATTGGCCCCGTCTTTGACAAGTATGGCCCGAAGTGGTTGATCCTGTCCGGCACCGTCTGTGTCGTGGCGGCTCAGATGTTGTTGAGCATCTCTACGCGTGCGTATACTCTTCCTTACCCCCTTTGGAACCTTATAAATTTAGTTAGCTGACAATGATCTTTGATCAGAGTTCTGGCACTTCATGCTCGTCTTCGGAGTTCTCAACGGCATCGGCGCCTCCCTCTTGTTCACGCCGTCCTTCGCAGCCGTCGGTCACTGGTTCTACCACCGCAGAGGACTCGCCACCGGCATTGCTTCCACTGGAGGTTGTTTCGGAGGTATCGTATACCCTATGATGCTCCGTGCCCTCTTCGAACGAGCTGGCTGGGCATGGGCGATTCGGACCGTCGGGTTCATCGTACTCGTTTTCTGCGGGGCTGCAACCCTACTCATCGACAGACGACTGCCGCCAAACCCTGACGCCTCGGTTCATCCCAACATACGTATACTCCGAGATCCGGCATTTGCGTTGACTACGCTCGGCATCTTCCTCCTTGAGTGGTCACTCTTCATTCCTCTCACGTACATATCGAGCTATGCCATTCATAAGGGCTTCGATATCGACTTTGCGTATCAAATCCCTACGATTCTGAATGCTGGAAGTGTAGCTGGACGTATCTTGGCAGGATGGTTCGGTGACTTTGCCGGGCCTTTCAACTCCAATATCCTGGCTCTTGTGCTGAGCATCGTCGCTTGCTTGGCCGTGTGGCTGCCGGCGGGCTCCTCTATGGCGGGCATCGTCGTCTTCGTGGTCCTGTTTGGCTTCGCTAGCGGGAATAACATCAGCATCAGCCCGGTTTGTATCGGCAAACTCTGCAAGACGGAGAGTTATGGGCGGTACTATGCGACGGCTTATACGGCGGCCTCCTTTGCTTGCCTTTTCGATGTGCCGGTAGCTGGAGAGATCGTTTCTGCGCAAAACGGGGAATATTGGGGGTTGATTTTGTTCACTGGTCTTATCTATGTCCTTTCTCTTGTTGCTTTGATGGGGACTAAGGTGGCTCGTGTTGGATGGAGTCCATTCGCAGTCCTGTAAATAACTAAAGCCACTAGACGGTCCCATATTCGGTGGGTTGTTAGCCACGGTTCGTGCCACCCTATTCTCCTTTCTTTGTCTCAATACATCAGGGGTCAAACCCCAATTCAAACATCGAAGCAGACTCACAATTCCTTTCAGAGGCGAGTAAAAAGAGTCGCATTACAGACATAGTCATTTAAAGAGTAAGTACAGTCTATTGCCGTTGTCCGACTTTGAATATCTATAGAAGAAAGTCAAGCCAGTGAGGTATTGCAAGTACATTGAGGAGCGTATCCATAACCATGCACTTTCGTAGGCTTGGTTATGGGGGAATGAAAGAGATCAATAGACCCAAAGCTCCATGTAAGGTGATGTGTGGTACGGCCCCCACATCATATACCGGTATCCCACAGCATGAAGCATTAGCCGTGCCGCCTTTTCAACCTCACGAGCATGTTGCAGTCTACTTAGATGTAGATTGCACAGCTGATAGGACCGCGAATATCCATCAGATCCGCGATCGTAACATTGGGCAATAGTCCCGCAGTCCAAAGGTTGTGTGCCATGGTGGTCACGTTGCCGCCGTTCTCCCCGTTGTAGTTCAGGAGGTCAGCACCGGGGTAATCGAGGTTGGACATCGTGAGGAAGGCATCCGAAGCAACCACAGGCCCTCCAATCTCGTTGAGACGAGCGGTGAGGTTGACTGATTGCCACTCCCACCACAATCGGTCGAGGTTAGTGTGGTGAAGGAAGAACAAAGGGTCACCAGGACTGGAGACAACATCCAGCATCTAGTTGTCGCAAGAGTCAGTCAAGATACGCCAGTGTATTCGAAGATGAGGTTCTGACTCACAGTACCGCCGACACCCATATGACCGGCAAGATGAGGTGCCGTGCCCCAACAGTTCCACGAGTCGACGTAGGTATCGATGGCCATGCATTCATTGACGTAGGTGCTATTGGCCTGGTAGAAGCTGTCCTGGTCGAGATCGCGGGTCAAGCAGAAGTTCGCATCACTGCTGGTCTGGTTCAAGTGCATCGTCAGGTTCACAAACGGCCCATCGGCAACGCAGCCATTGTCGCCATTCTTGAAGCTTCCGAATCCGGTCTCCGCATCGAAGACGGTGGACTGGTTCAAGAAACCGGCTTCGGCGTCCTCCAGCTCGTTCCAGTAGGGCTGGCCTCCCTCGTAGCCGCACTCAGTCTGGAGGTAGACTTCATGGACACGCACTGCGATGTTGATCGTTATTGCTTGTCCTCAGCCGTGAGAACGAAATGAGACTTACTGTACAGTCTGTGCCAGGGCAGGAATGGGCCGTCATTGTGGATGACGTTGGCCTGGTAGATGTGGGCGTACATCATGTCATCCCAAAGGTTCTGCGAGCCGGTGACGCCCAACTTGGGGGCCTTGTTCATCAAGCAGAGCTCAGCGTCAATGTAAGCCTTCTTCTCGGTGGTTGTCATCGCAGTCCTAGGATCTTGTTAGAGAAGCAAGGGATCCGAAGCCAATAAAACATACCAGGACTTTCTCTGGTGCAACGAGGTGCACTCAGGGAATTCCTTGACAGCTGCTCTCGTGGCGCTCGAGTTCGATGAAGGCAGTGAGTTTGCCACGGCCATGGTGGCTGCACAGCCATAAACCAGAAACTTCAAAGAAGTGGAGGACATTTTGGCTTCTCTGGCAAGACAAGTGATGCAATTCAAGAGTGAAGAGGTAATGAGCGGAAGGAGTATATTTGCGGGAGGAAAATCAGCATTTTATATCCCAAAGTCTATCGTAGTCAAGACTGGCAGTCCAATGATCTACCTTGCCTCGTCCCTCCCTTTTCTCATCTTTCGGTATTTTCTGCCATGAATTGCATTCTCAATTTTCATTTTCCTGACTCAAGAGCCGACTAAGACTTTAGAAGAGGCCTTTCCGACCGATATCACCGAGTGTAATCTCGAACTTACTGGAGTTGTGTGAAGGAGTTGCTTCCTAGAGGTCACAGAGGATCTCAGATCCGTCCCGTTGCACGCCACATGACGAAAAACCGAGCTAGAGGTACTCACCAAAGGGTCGGCACTTTTCTATCCAATGCAAATGCATGAAGAAGGGCCTCGGTAAGTGCAATGATGAAGAAAGGAACGTTGACCAAATCGAGCTTGTAGTTCCGGTATGCATACCGATCTTTACCGTTGTTTTGGCCCACTAATTGTGGCAACCGAGGGATTTGGCTTGTTAAATCAAGCTTTTTCTGCTAACTCTTGAGTAAATGCGGCCCGCGATGGGGCTCCTTATCAATCTCCGTGTGTTGTTCCATCGGATCCGAGCGGCTCTCCGTCGATACTCAGAATGCAGCCATTCTGAAGATTCCCGTCTTCCAGCTTGACAGCGCTGAAGCTTTATGAGGCTGATGTTTGAGCCATTTCTGCAAGCATTGATTCACACCGTACATGGTTTTTAACTATGTATAGAAAGAGTAAGGAATGAACGCTTCAACCAAAGGTCCGAGGATCTACGTTGATCTAGGAACTGCACCTAAACGTTCTTCAGATCGCGGCAAAATCACATTGCCAAGAGAGAACTAAGTTTAGCCTAGTGGATTGTAACGGACGCTCCGCTGTCGAAACTTGGATTTATCCTCTCTTCAACGATGCCAGGTCTAAGGGAGGTCTCCGGAACTAGATGAATCGCCACATACAACGCCCCACTCGACGGCACTCCACTCCGCGCAATTCACGATAACGGCGGGAACGACAAATATACTGACTTAGTGAGCGAGCAGACAATACCTGGCATGGTATTCCCTTCGTGGGTACTACATTGGTACCCAACCCCTGGTCTATGAAGAGTAGATGCTTGAAGAGCGAACGAAGGAATGACAGCTTGCCACATACCCACAGGTTCGACTCACCATAAGAGTTTCCTTAAAAGGGCAAGATCCGAAGCGTCCAGTCTCGAGCTGAAGAATGCGTCTAGTAAAAGGAAGCTACTGTAAGTGCTTAGTCTTCGCGAGAAATCAGGTGTTGAATAAAGCTCGGTTCTATGAGACTGGTGTCCCAATAGCAGAGTGTTTTGATGATGAGCTCCTAGTTTCGGGATACTTGACTGCATGAGGAGTTTCTCTCACGTAGAAAGCTGCAAAACGTGATTTTTCTTTGCTTTTGCAACTTAATCTGCCAAAAGTAAGGTGCCTTTTTGATTGGTTGAAAGATGTTGGTCACGCGTGATCAGGCTGTGCCTCAATGAATCGACAGGGGCCCTCGTCAGTCTATGCCCCTTTCATGCGGCTGAGACATCTCATCATTTACATTTTTCCCATTTTCACGTCTATTTTCACTTCGTCTTGAATCCCAAGTGACCCGAGTTTCATGAGATTTCAGGCTACTAAAGCCTCAAGTCATCATCGTTGTACCAATGAAGCGTCTTTTTCAGACAGACTGGCGCAAGGACCGCGACAAACCCGACAAGCGGCCTAGGAATGACGCGCAGGAGGAGGCGCCCAATGTTCCGACCGATGTGTTTCCTCCAGCCCCGTCGACAAGCCTACATGGATCGAACACCATGGCTTCACGTGGGGCATACGAACTGACTACAAGCTCGTCTAGTCCAATAGGCATGAGCGTGTTGCACGATCCCTCCGAGGGAAACGCCGCTGTGGAGTTAGCATTTCTCGGTGTGGAATGAACCATCGCGTATGCTAATAGATGTCTCGATAGCATCGTCTTCATCCATGGCTTGAAAGGTCATCGTGAAAAGACCTGGACATCAGACAAGGCATCTGAGCCTTGGCCTAAAGCTTTGCTTCCGTCCGAAATACCGGATGCCCGAGTTTTGGCGTACGGCTACGACGCAGATGTGGCCAAGGCTACCGAGATGGTCTCAGTCAGTCGCATTCGAGACCATGCGGCGACTTTTTTGAAGAGACTTACGAACTTTCGAGATCGAACCGACAGCGTGGGTCGTTCTGTTTGCCGTTATCGAGAGCGGTTTTCTAACGTTCTTAGTCTGCGCGTCCCATCATATTTGTCTGTCACAGCCTGGGTGGACTGGTCTGTCAAGCTGTACGTGTCACCCAAGTGTTCACCGTCATGAAGGTTGAGGGGAGCCCAAAATAGTACTGTCATGTTAATCTCATCCTTCGACAGGCTCTCGCCCGCGCCCACACAAGAGAACACCTTAAAGAAGTCCTCGAAGCGACCCGAGGCATACTCTTCCTCGGTACACCGCATCACGGCTCAGCTCTTGCTGTGTGGGCAGAACGACTTGGCAAATCCGTTGGAGTGCTAAAGCAGACAAACACCGAAATCCTCGGCGTTCTCAGACCTGAGTCGGAGGTCCTCGCTGAGATTCAGGACAATTTTCACAACATTACACAATCCCAGACAAAAGCGGGAGTCGGCACTATTCAGATTACGTGCTTCTACGAGGAGCTGCCTCTTCCCGGAATTGGGCTGGTTAGTTGACCTGGCCAACTGCAATGATGCTAATGACTAATCTTCCTCAACGATATCAGGTCGTTCCTCAACACTCAGCCATCTTCCCAGGTAAAGATGCCATTGGAATACATGGGACGCATCATACCATGGTGAAGTTCAGCAGTCCTGAAGATTCTGGATTTATCGATATTTGCGATGAGCTTCGTACTTGGATCAAGAAGTTTGAACGGAAAGTCTCTGTACTACCACGTCAAAGCACGCCACCTCTAGCAGTTGAGGAGCAAAATGAGAAGAGGTCTACAAACCCGCCAAAGAAGACGGCATCCAAATGTACGTAGCTAGAGGGACTTCAAAGATGAGTTCAATATTGATGAATGCGAACAGTTCTTGTCCCATATGCGAAAAACAAGAGTTTCGTCGAACGATCCGACATCTTTACACGTCTTAAGAGCGAATTTTGTCATGGTCCTGAGGACGACATTGAAGATGCTAGATCTCGAGTTTGTCTTTATGGCCTCGGAGGGATTGGGTAAGTCGTAGGAAGCCACTCAAAAGGTTCAATTCGCTAAGACTGCGTAGAAAGACTCAAATCGCCATTGCGTATACCTACTGGTTACGCAAGGCCCATCCTGAAATTTCTGTTTTCTGGGTACACGCCAGTGATTCAGATCGGTTCCGTCAAGCCTATTCTGAGATTGCGGAAGAATGCAACATTGCCGGTCGTAGTGACCTTAACGTCGACGTGCTAACGCTCGTAAAATCTTGGTTTGAGCGGCAAAAGACTGGCCCCTGGTTTCTGGTTCTCGACAATGCCGACAATACCGAGCTGTTCTTTAATGATCATACTCAACCCAACAACACCAATTCATCTGACGTCGAATCGAACAAGGGTAACAGCAACATGGCCCGCTTCCTTCCCCAATACGGCAATGGCTCGATCCTCGTTACAACACGGAACAAAGAAGCCGGATCGAGACTTGTTCCAGGCCAACCATTAGTGGAGATTGGACCTATGAGCGATGGAGAGTCGCTTCAAATGATTCGCGAGATAGCTGGAGACTCTTCGCTGTCAATGGATGCCGCTACCGTCCTTTCAAACCGCCTTGAAAACCTACCACTCGCTATTGCCCAAGCTGCAGCTTTTATGCATGAAAATTGCATGAGCCTACATCAATATCTTGTTATTCTGAGTAAGGGCGATGGTGTCGAAGTTCAGCTACTGGGTGGGAATTTTGAAGCCGTTGGTCGAGACGCAGACGTTCCACACGCTGTAATGGCGACATGGGTGGTGTCGTTCGAGCATATCAAGAAAAGGAACCCACTTGCGGCCGATATCTTGTCGATGATGGCTTTTTTTGATCGTCAAGCGATTCAAAGGCAGTTCATGACTATCTACATGTACTTGGAAGTACGTCGCGAAAAGAAACAATTCGATAATGAAAGCGACGACAATGAAAGCGACGACAATGAAAGCGACGACAATGAAAGCGACGACAATGAAAGCGACGACAATGAAAGCGACGACAATGAAAGCGACGACAATGAAAGCGACGACAACGAAAGCGACGACAATGAAAGCGACGACAATGAAAGCAACGACAATGAAAGCAACGACAATGAAAGCAACGACAATGAAAGCAACGACAATGGATCGTCACCAGGACAAGACGAAGCCAGACATTACAAAGCGTATTTCGATTTCAACGCGAAATTCCTAACCTCAAAAGACTTTGAGGACGACTCCAGGGAAGACATTTGCGACTCGATTGAGGACCACATCAATGAATACTTCGGAGATCCAGACCAAAGTCTAGAAACTTTGGAGCGGGATGGGGCTTATTCGATTCTTCTCGAGCAAGCTCTAGGTATTCTCAAGGCTTTTTCGTTCATCAAGGAGAACAAAGATGGAACCTTATGCATCCATCGTCTCGTTCAGTTGGCAACCGCAAATTGGCTCAAGAAGAAGGGCTCCGCAAGGTGGTTCTTCGGAAGGGCGCGGGCAACGCTGGACGAATTCTCCCCAGCTTCTGCAAAGGCCAACTCTTTTTCTTACAAGTGTATTCCTCATTATCGGGCTTTACTAGAATACCTTCTTGGACAATGCCTCGACCTTCATGATTAGCCACTGCATGGCGATATTCTACTGCTTTGTTGGCCAGCCTAGGCTCGTACTTGATTGTATTGAAGCAGCTATGGAAACACAAGAACACAATCCGCCTAAAGCGTCCTATTTTGAAGCAAGACGGCTCAAGGCAACGATTGTCAAATCTCTCGACCGCAACCAAGCAGCGAAGCAAATCCTCATTGAGCTAGTTACCACGCTACCTCAGAATAGTAAAATCAAGCCTTTGACGATAAAAAACCTTGCTAGGTTTTTGGTAGATGTAGGAGACTACATAGAAGCAAGAGACTTGCTGGTTGGTGACGATGCTCCGCTCCTCAGGCAAAAAGCATGTCTGATAGTTTACTTAGGCACGGTATTTCACAAGCTGGGCGACACAGAAGGTGTAGAAGAGACAGACTTGTGGGTATTTGAGATTATGGAAGAGATGTTAGCATCCGGTAGGGCCGCCAATTTTATGTCTGTCTTCGAAGTGGCTTTCACATTCGCCCCACATGAGAAATTGCAAGAGGCAGAGAGAATCTGTCCAACATGTTGAATAGATTCGAGGGATCTAATGTCCACATCAATGTATTGGGCATGCTGGCGTTGGTCTTGCGCCAGCAAGGCCTCAATCCAGAAGCTATCGATGTCCAGCGCCAAATTGTGCGTCTGTGTAAGCATCTTGGAGAATCACGATCCCGATCGAACGAGAAAGCCAAAGCACTTCGGAATTTGGCAGTTATGTAAATCGAACCAGAGTCGTTCGAAGATGCAGAAGAGAGTATCGCTCACAGGCTTCAGTTATTTCGAGGCATACCTGGCGACACTAGATACCTTGTACTTGGCTGCAGGTATCATCTAGGGCTCATCAAGTACAAACTTGGCAAGTGGGAGGAATCAAAGAATATCATAGAGAACGGTTACCAGCACAGCGTTAATAAGATGGGCTCGCGCGACCTGCTTACACATTGTTTCAGAGACGTTATGAAGTGTCTCGGGAAACACACATTGGAATCAGAAATGGTGGAATGAAAGAAAAAAGATGATGATGAAAGCCAGAATGTTGGATCTATGACTAGTAGGCGGTTTCATGAGTCTAGCCATCGAAGTGGTTGAAGAACGAACACCTGTACGTGACGAAGTAACCATAAGTTCATAATAACTATCATATGGCAAGTTGAGAGTTAGAACTACCAACCTCCGCCTTTTGCTGAAGAGGTACGAAAAGACTAGACTGTCTCATACTATCGCCCAGACAGCTGTTAGATAATACAAGTTCGCAATTCGCATTCTGGAATTGTGTCACAAAACTGATCAGAGCTGACCCGACCCCATTGATTGACGACTCGCATCAATATCGTCCCCGATTTCTTTTCGACAGCCTTTAATATAGACGTTCATTATGGAGATATAATTGGAGTAGGAGAATATGGAAATGTTACTCGTTACTGCCTTAATTGAATGCGTGTATCTGTGTGCGAGGGGTATTCGGCACCCTATGGGATGAAGGCTTCAGACAATACGTTTGATACGGACAACGCTTACCATACCAAATATCTCGTTGGCCATTCTCTCGAATCAAAGTAGTCAAAGGGTATTAGTTCACCTACTGATATGTCTTCAGGAGTAACACAGACCCAGGCTGATGACGTCGCTTTAACTCAACGGAGAGTACGGCCGAGGAATGAAGTATGACGAATTCTCATACTCACGGCCGCAGAGCGCGTACGTGGCCATTGACTCGATCACATTCCTCACACAAGCCACCAAAGATCATCGACATCGGTTCAGGCGTGTCCTTGTGATGGAAATCCACCCGTTAGACCCATCCAGTCGTTCCACCCGCCGCCAACCCGCCCTAGCGAGACATTGTGTAACAAGGAGTCGGGACCCTTCTCCATCACCACCGCACCGAGACAGAGGGGTCTCGGGCAAGACGGCACAGAGAACTCGACAGGTCAGCGAAAGGGATGGGCAACTGAGCAGATATTCAGCGTGGCAGACTGTATACGTGTGCCTGTATCGTCTTGATGAAAACTCTTCATCCGGAAGGCGTCCGGAAGGGAGGTCGTTCTGTTTCCATGAGCTCACGGACGATCTAGTGGTATTCAGGCCCCCTCAGGTGAGAACACGTTTGTATACAGCATGAAGGAAAAACGCGGAAGATACATCAGTTTCCTCCCGGCGCGTATCAAAAGATCAGCGTAGAACAGGCGGACCCACGGAACGGAGCGGCAGAGCCGCATCGCAGGAGACACACGGGTGACGGAGGGCAAGGGAGAGTCAGCCAGGCATTCTCATCTATCCATTCACCCATTCAGAGAGGGAGACTAGAGAATCGTCCAGTGTCTGGCTCGTGCGTTGGCGCAAGTCCTGCAAGAAAGGGGAGAGATAGTGAGGGGCCATGGTTGAAGGGGGAAGCACGACGGTTTGTGACTTGCATATGCCGCTTCAGCTGAACTAGACGACGACTACGAGAGAGTTTCTTACCCCTTTCAGCATTGCGCTTTGAGGACAGGGTATGCCCCGTCAGATGTTGCCCGGCAATTGGATCCCGTTGGAAGCCGAGGAGGACGAGCGCGACTTACATCAGCGGGATGCTGCATTATCTGCGTTTATCGTGGGCCACTGCAGTCAGGACTGCATGCTAGGTACCGTGGTATCTTTACCGAAGCAAATGCGGCTTGCCTGATAGGATTAAGAAGAGGGCTAGTGGTTTAAGACTTAGCCCACTTATCAGAGGCCCATCAGCCACGTTTCGAGGGTTCGTCACGATGCATCAAGTGCCGGTACGACGTGTCCTGTCACTTGTGCCTGTATCCATGGCTGCGATTCACCCAAGCCTCCTAAGATCAGGTAGATCCTCCTCGTCCAGACATGTCCGCCACGCGTCCAGCTTCCTTAGGAGGCCGCGCCCAGCGCCGAGCCCCCCGTCAAGTCTGGAAAGTCGAGTTGGCTGGTCTGGGCATCCAGTAAGGGACGGGATAAGGTACCGGTAGTCTGAAGTTGGCGCCGCGCTCAGAGATGGCCAGTGATCCACGAACGACAGTGGCCCCCAAGAGAAAAAGTCGCCAGATCACCACCAAGGATCACGTCGGTGAATCGCTGACGGGCACAACGGGGTGGGATTGTGGACTGATGATGACTATGAGGGGGGCTGATGAGAGTCAATGCAAATGGGATCTCCCAAACCAAAATCCCGGAATCCATGTCAAGGGGGAAGGAAGTTTTCAGTGGCTTTCTCATCAGGACTGACATGCTGGAAAGCCAAACCACCACAGTGACAGCGAAGCCCCTGGTCCAGCCAGGCACGCCGTCAAGTGCGCCATGTGCGTTGGAGTTGCGACAGCCAGGTTTTACCTTGTCGTTGCTGTCTCGGGTTGTCGTTGGAGGGTTACTACCTTCCATTAAGTAAGCAAGTCGGAACCCGTCAGCCAGGCACACTAACAATCACCTCTTGCTTATGGCGCAAGCCTCCTTGTCGTGCTTACCTTCACCATGGCGCCTCCTTCCTCAAGGACTGATTGATAACGTGACCTGTTAAGCTCCCTCCTTCCCCCTTCTACCCATCTCTAGCCAATCAAGCACCCGGTCCCTCTTTCCCCCTTACATCCCTCGGTCCAGTCCGTGACATGCAGCCCCACCCATCGTCTTTTCCCACCACAGAACGGTGAACCCGCCCATCTGAGTGGTCCCTGGTCATCTGCTGTGGCGCGGCTTAGAATCCGCGCGTGTCGCATGTCCCCTCCAAGTCCATCCTCTCCAGCCAATCACACCCAATAGTCTGCAGGGAAAGAGTCAGGGGTTCAGGCACCGAATTGCCGTTCCTTCTCCCATCCAATCGATCCCCGCTGCCATTCCAGAAGGTCTGGAGCCTGGGCGCTGCCAACGGCTCTGCTTTTTTCCACGTCCATCGTATCCGTCAACGTATCGTCGCCTCAACTGTCCAATCGAATCGATTCTTCCCCCCTTGCTTCAATCGCACAACCTTATTCCTTGGCCCTGCTCGGTTTTGGCGGCTGGACTCTGGAGACCTTCCAGGCAAATCCAGCTTCTGACGATCCGCCCTTCCCCTGCTGGAGTCCTGACGCTGGCCTGGTTGTCCTAGTCTCGGTCTGCTGGCGGCGGCTTCGGCGGTTGTGTTTGTGCAGTCCGCGCTGTGCATTAGGTTATTAATCCTCCGAGCGCTGGTCCGCAGCCACACGGCACAGAGTCAGTGACCGTGGGAAAGAAGCACTGTGAGATATGTCGACTCACCAACGTTCGACCACAAGCGTCAACAACACCATCACGAATCATCTCGACCACCTTCCAAGACCTCCCGTGAAATGAACCGACCACCACTACCCCAAGAAGCAAATCAAAACCGACTCACCAGAGTGACCACACTCATTAAGCCAACTCTCACCGCAACCGCGCACCGCCGCAATGGGTTTCAACCCTGAAACTCCACCCGCTCATCTCGGTCCTCCATCCCCAAAGAGGTCACCATCCCCCCCTGTCTTCAAGCTCTCGAGGTCGAGCATGCCCTGTCCCTCGAATGCTTAGCATCAATAGTCAAAAGATGTTCCCACTCAAAGAAGGCTTGGGTATGGGTCCAGAGACGCAGCTGGGCCTCGTCTCCGACACCATATTTTGCCCCTCTCTGTCCCAGTCTCCCTCCCTGCCTTTGGTGTGTACGAGGTCGAAAACCGAGGTACTCGCGCCTACCTGGTACCACCGCCCCTGTCGAGACGAGTTTCGTCACAGCCCATCATCGTCCGATATCACAAAACCCGTGTCCCTCTTTTTTCTTCCTCGTCTTCTCTCACCATCTCAACTCCTCGTCTCACGATCACCAACCAAGTACACCTCCCTTACCTATACCGCCAAACAGCCACCAATACTCCGTACCATACAACGAACACACGGCCTCAAGCAAGACGCATACAACGCACGAACCCGCACACGCACGCCAAGAGATCTGCACGCTCACACACACCTTTTCGGGCTTTCACTCTTAACACACCAACATCCCACACATTCTTCCTACCCAAAGTCTAATCCTTTCCACACACCATCACCTACATCACACCTCACCCGTGTGTTGCTCGTATCCCAGACAGTAGAAGCTGCACCTCGCCTCTCTCTTTTTACCTATCGAGCGCCCGCCCGCACTCGTGTCTGCTAGTCCAGCTGGTCTGATCCAAAAACCTTGCCTTCGCTATACATATTTTTCTGCCGACCTGCCGGTACACACTTCCTCAACGCCACTCTTTCACCAACCAAGACGACTCGTCGCTAGCTCGACGTCCGTAACAACAACAACTCCACGATCATTCGGAGAGAAGGAGGATTCTGGAAATCAAAGGGAACAAGAAAAAACAAGAAAGCGGGATATCAGAAAGAGACTGGAATTGGGGAACCCCGTCAACGAAACCGGTCCGATTCGCGCGAACGCAAAGGCAGCTATCTTGAGCCGCCTTCCTTTTTGTTTAATACACCCTCTCCTCGAACACCAACAGCCGACGACGACAAGATGAAGGTCTCACTCGCGATCCTGACGACGCTGTGCGCGTCACTCGCCACCGCAGGCGTGGTTATCACTCCCGTCCGTCAAAATCAGGTCGTGCCCGCAGCACAAAAGGTCTCGGGCGACTGCTTCTTTGGTGTTGTGACGCCTCAAGGTTGCGCGTAAGTCTTCATTCTCGACTGGTCTTCACTGGAGCCATGACTAACATGATACTATAGTCCTTTGAGAACGTGAGCCTGGCTTTACTATGCAAAGCGTCAAACGTATCATCATGAGCGATGAGAGGAAACGGCGGGAAAGAGACAGGCCGGAGCTCGTCGGGAGCAAGTCAACCACCACGCAACTTGATGCCTCACTGCAGAAGCCAACCCGGGCGGACGTGTGAGCATCCATTGCTCCGACGATTCTGATGAACCGCCTCACTCCCGGCCTCGCCTCTCCTTTCTCTACGGCCAATTTTCACGACGGAGAGGACCACGACGCCATCGGGCCCGTCGTCTGTACCATTTACGACTTATTACATATGTGACCGGTTCACAACAAAGCATTCATCAGCATCAGCGGTTGTTATTTCAGGCGGAATATTATTTGGGCATTTTCATCAAAACGACGTTGACTGACGACATGAGCGAGTGAGAGCGAGACGGAAGTGGTAGAAACATGGGAGGACGTCGTCAGTGGACCTTACAGAGGAGGATTATGGTCACCCCCAAAACTAATGTTGGCATCCAAGACGTCGCGTCTGCTTGTTTTTGCTTGTCTCGCCGCTGCGCTTCCCCTACGGACCTCCGCGGGGTGGAAGCGCCGGCAGCACAGCATCACCAGCGCAGTCTTGGCATCTTCTTCACCAAATTTCTCTTCTTATTCCCCCTCCAATTTTTTACCATATACTAGATCACCCTTTTCCCAACTTACAAAAGAATTTCAAAAATATTGGATATCACCCCCCGTTTCCCCCCTTCGTTGATGATGCGACTAACTGCCTGAGACTGTCACTAACCGAAAGCTCCAACCCCCACCAATGAATCTAAGCGAACGCGGATGATACTCACGCCAGACAAGCCATGGCGCCCATCAAACACCAACACCATACCAAGTGGCGCAACGCCTCGCGCAGCGGCTGCTACAACCATCTTTCCCCCCCTCTCACCGCTACAAACGCACGTCGTCCATCCACCCCCGCCAGGTCCCAACGGCATAGACGTCTTAGACTTCCGCGTGCCTGAAATGCTAAAACTCCCAAGCCGCAAATTCTGATACGCGAAACCACCTCAGACTTCAGACGCCTACCTTGTCCAGCAAAACCGAGACCAATTCCCCCAATCCCCCGCCCGTGCCTCGGTTTCGTCCCGACTTGGCCGTGTTCCAGATCCCCCAATCCGGTCACTCTTTGTCTCTCGCTCTGCCCCCAAACTCCACCCCAGCCAGCGGCAACCGTTGTAACCTTCCACACCTCAAAGCCCACGAAATACCTTACCCTACTCTTAAGGTATTGCGGCACCGGGCGGTACCATGCCCTATACGTGAGCCGCAAAAACCTTAATGTCGCAACTCAAAATCCCCCCCAAACCTAACCATTTACCCGTGGGACCTATGACCTATGACATCGTACCCTCGAGCACCCACACAGACGGGCACGGAGAATAAGTTACCTTGACCTCGTTCTTTGCCCACCGAGAGCTTGGCTTACGTGCCTACGTAGTTGCGTACTACCGCTCTGCGCGCGCGCGTACCTGGCCGTCGACCTGGATACCTGGGCCTGGCGCTGTTCCCTCCCCCTCGGTCCCGAGACAAGTCGAGTCTTCGACACCCACACCAACCACTTTGCCCACGCGTCAGATGCGCAGAAAATAGAAACAGGCCCTACCGATCGAGGACTTTCATTCGCTTGTCACACTTCTTTGGGATTCATTTCATCGGCTACCAGATGAGGAAGCAAAGTGTAAATATTGAATTCCGTTTCTTAGGGTATCATGGTTTTCTGTCAGTCTCTCGTCAACGAAACAAACGCCGCCCATGCCATCTTAAATGCCCTCCTCTGTCCGATACTAAACATTCCTCCCAATCGTGTGTGATCAATTTGAATTGGTAGCCGCCGTCGTTCAACATCTGAGGGGGTACTTGGGGGCACGATCGGCCTTCATTCCGCCCCAGTGAGTCTCAGGTGCCTCACTGCCATCTTCACCAATGGCATGTGGCTTCCAGGGCTCGTCAAAGGCCTCGAAGAAGAACACGTTGAAGCCCCAGTTGACCATACCGCAGACACCAGAGTCGTAGAAAGCCTGAGCGTTGTCTTGTCCCGGGATCGCCTGCTGATACTTTGCACCTTCACTGGGCCAACCTAATTTCAGTCGATCTTGTCAGCAACTCGTTCACGATGACCGTGTAGAACCATTCGGTATTGCGATCACTGCTCAGAATGTATGACATAGGTGATGAATATCACCGAAGAGGCAACCACCAAGATCAGAGTGATGAGTGAAGCAGTTCGACTTACCCGTCTCCCCAACCCACAGCTCAGGCTTGGTGAGCGATCCACTGACGCTCTGGATGCGTCCAAACGCCTGCATGATGGAGTCGAAGAAGCAAGCAGTGGCGTTGTCGCGCGTCTGACCCTGCCAGTAGGAAAAGGCGTTGGTCAGAAGAATGTCGGCCTCCTTGATGACGGCATCGGCCGTGCCGTCTTGGTACTTGTTCCAGCTGTCCGCGGTACCGATATTGAAGAGCGGGGCCGCCTTCTTCATGTCCTTGATCTTGTCCGCCAGCTCGGTGCCGGTGAAGTTGCCGCGGTACATGGACTCGGATCCGACAGTGATGGCGTAGACTTGGTCCTCGTAGCCGGGTGTGTGCTTCAGAATTGCGGCCTTGTCGGCGGCGTACGACTCTTCGGTATCGGGCCTGTCCGAGTCAGCGGGAGCACTTTCCCAATAAGCTTCACTCGATTTGGGGTAAAGTGAAGTATATCGCCGGACGAGGTTGGTCTACCAAATGCCCAGAATCACCTGGAATTCTTCCTTCTTGGCTGCGGGAAGAATGTACTGGGCAGTGTTGCACTGGTCAGCAGCATAGATGCGGACGATGCTGCTTCCCGAAGCATCTCGGATGGCCCTGAAGTCCGCTTCGTAGTCTGCCTGGTACTTGCACTGCCCGCCCGGCTGCTTCGAACCGAGAGCGAAGCCCAGATGTCCGGATGCGAGGACCAGGCCAGGGGCAGAGGCCAGCAAGGCGGCGAGGACTGAGGTGGAGCGCATTTCGACGGTCGATCTGTTGGTGCTTGCCCGTGCCTAGGTAAGATATCTGAGGCGGCAAAAGGTGTAGCTGCGACAAAAGTCTCGCAAGAGTAAAGGAACAGGAACAGGGTAGAGATGTGAGTAGGTAGGTGACAAAGGGCGATGCAGGAAAAGAATGGTTTGATCAGTCGGCGAAGAGGATGAAGGTCCAAGAAAAAGAGGGAGTCAGAGATCCACACGCGTCTACATTCAACTCTCATCAATGGTGATTCTCCAAAGGCAGGAAGTGAGGGTATTCATCACCAGTTTGGGAAGGAGGCATCCTGCCATGTGCTGCATGTCCAGATTGGGCAAGAACGAGATGCAGACAGGGTCCAACCTTGACATCCCGCACCTCCCTCACAACTCGGGACGAACCAGCAGCTCCCAGAAATGCACTGATCATTTATGCTTTCTCAAACTATCATATTTCTATCAGATCTTGGCAGCTTTGCGATCATTATTGTTAATCCTAACCATGTTGGGGTTTGCGCACCCCGATCGATAGCTCGATCTCGGATATAATTGCTTGGAATTAGAGTTGCTTCAATCGCGTTCTCAACGGACAGTGCTGTTGCTTTCTTTCTTCCCCTGTCAAGACAATTATCGCGAATGCGATTTAAGCTGAACCAGAAAGGGATTTTTGCCCATAGTTTATCATTATTTGCTGTCATCCACAGTACCTCTCACACAGAAATAAGTCCGACCGTCCAGTTACTAAAAGAAGTCGCAGCTATTCGTCACGTCACATCACGATTCAACTGAAAAACACAAGTGTCGTGAGATAATCTAGAAACCCCTGTGGGTTTCAGTTGTTCATTAATCAATAACAGAAACTATGTAGTCCCATGGCCAGGGAAAGAGGGTATAAAGCGATCCGCCATGTACAGGAGGCTCGATTCGTCGTCATCTATTCGCCAACGTGGCGACCATCTTGATCCTGCCCCAACTCCCGATTCATGCAGTGATATTCAGCCGTTTAATTATGTATGCGGATTTAAAGGAAGGACATGAAAGTTTGTATGCCGACCAAAGCACCAGCTGCAAGCCAGAGGTTGGTGGATGTTGAGCGGCCAGCAGCGTTGCCGGTACCAGTCGGATTGCTACCACTGGGGGCAGTGGAGGTAGAGCACTCGCCAGTGAACTTTGCCGCCGCATTCGCGCCCAGGGGAATCTTCTGAAGGTTCGAACCGCAGTTGTTGTAGGGGGCAAAGTGAAGGGCGGGTGTCTCCTGGTCGAAAACGACGTAAGTCGAACGGAGGAACGAGTCACCAAGCAGATACGAGCCGTCGGTTGCCTTATCAGCTCCGAGGACACACTGGTTGTTGCCCACGTTCCAGATGAACTCCTGAATGGGTACCTTCATGGTGTAGTCGCCAAACTTGAAGTCGATAGTGCCTGTGGTGCTGCAAGGTACCACATACATGTTGACGGATGAGTCAAGCTGGCCTCCCAGATCAGATCCGAGTGAGTCGACGATGGCTGAAGGAAGATAGCTCAGGGTGGCGCCAGTGTCGAAGAAGACGGGGAATTGGGAGTTGGCGTAAGTCTTGGAGCTGCTTCCCGACTTGCTCAGGCCCACAGAATCCAGCTGAACCCAGTACCTAAGAAATTCAATTAGCCATGATCGTAAAGAACAGAAGAGTAATTACTCACCTCCACAGGTTCTCGTTGTTCTGAGGCCCAAGGATGGGCGCCGAGTGCAGGGTGCCACTGAATTTCTTCGTGTCGACACCGCCGAAGGAAATGAGACCGCTACCCGTCTTCTCGTCCTTGGTACCGAGCGCGATACCAATGGTGAGAGACTCAACAATGTTCTGGGCCTTCATCTCGTCAAGCACGGTCGGGTACCCAGTGTTGTTGGTCGCCTCGCCGAAGCTCAGGCCGAGGATACCT